TATTGTATAAAATATACTGATTGCCCCTCTTCATGAATGATAACAGAAACCAAAAAAACACCAAGCAAACCGATTTCTCGATAGCTATAGTAGCAAACATAGGATTTATAGATATTGTTTTAAAGCATTTGTTTAATATATATGGAAAATAAAATGTGGTCAGTCTGGAAATGCATAAATAGAATGACAGGAAGATTTACAAACATGTACACAGAGTATTTTAATAAAATCTTAAATGAACTGTTGTCATTTCTATATATAAACGAAGGTAAATCAGAAATGAGTTAATTAAAAACTACTTTGCATGATATTTGACTTACTGTATCCATGACCTACTACTGTACATTAAAAAATCAACTGAATACGTACGTAAACATGCATTATTGAGTCAGTGTCATGAGAACATTTGATTCCTTCGTCTGGAATTGTCAAGCTGTCTTGTATTACATGTATGTGTTTCATTATGATAGAGAGGATACGTTGAGTTGACCTATCAATTTAGTTTTCAAAATACATGCTAGCTCTTCTGAGTGTATTTCACTAAATCAAGCAATGTGCGCTAGATACACATTCTTGACCAATCATAATAAAGGGGTTGACCAATCACAATGAAGGGTTTTCATTTTTCTCAACTTCCCCAATTTTTATCACATACAGGCAAAACCATTCTTAACAAGAATCTAGCATCAAAATTGGACAAATCATAGATGATAATTACGTCACTGCTATAACATTTAGTATTACGTCCTAAAAAGTGACATTACACTTTTTGTGCATTTAACGTTTTGAAAAAGGTTGAAGTTTGTGCAATCGTAATGTACAGCATGGCTGTCCGATTTGATAAAGTATGCAGTCGAAATTTAGCTTCTTGTTTGACCTTTTGTCCTCACATTTACTAAACAACCGTCTAGGCAGTCAAACAGACTTGTGTTGGTTCTCTGTTCAGAGAGTCCAGTTGTTCTTAATTTTTATCGGTTCTGTTCGTCTCGGTAGGTTGTGTCATGGTATGGGATCCTATTTTGGCTTATGTACCATCTAGAAAACAAAGACGTAGATGTATTGAAAGTAATTTAAGTCGTATTTTTTTGCAGCCGACATATTTTGGATTTCCAAAAACATGATTTTACGCATTGGGATAGTGTTTGGTTATGCTTTTGGCCAATCAAGAACACCGTGTCAAGGCTAGCTACTGTTATTGTAATGTCTTATTTTGGCTGTCATCTACAATTTTAGTTTATCGAAGAAACATGTTTATTAGCACTACAGAACAATAGACGACATATAATTAAAAAAATACCTGACTTTTACAACAACGCATACTCCTACAAGGTATATATCTATGTATTGTCTGAGCGGAATAACTGAAATAATATACTCTTGAGGTTACTTACAGACATTTTATATTTTTACCTGTATTTATCATTGAAAAAAAGCCTGGCCTTATGCAGAGTTAACACTGCAGGGGAGTTCCTTTTGCTACAATTTTAGAAAATATATTTGAACATGGATTAAATCGATTTGTAAACGTTGAAAAATAAGTCAACTGAACATATTTCCTTATAAGATTTTAGACCCATCCAATAATTTATCCCATTTGGATAATATTAAGCGTGTAATACCTGCATTTTCTGTGACCTCACAGGCTGGGACATATCTGTCATTGGAGTGGAATGCTGCCTCCTTGATTCTTCAACCAATATGATGACCAATACAACCAAAAAATCCAGAATGGTCAATCCCTATTCGACCACTATCCCTAACGCAGTGGTAGTTTTAAACTGTCTGTGTGCGTGGTACTTTAATAAAGAATACGAAAGAAATAAGGACCTGCCAAATCATGAAATACCACACGAATTCATACTCGCTGAATAGAGTGCGCTCTCAATATCAAATGTTTTATTTCACTAGCTTTAATCAAACACAAGTTTAGACTTTATTACTAGGAGTGTCCTTGTAAAGACTAATAGAAGTTCACTTTAGAAATAGCCTACAATTTGAAACATAAACATCGTGATATGTGTATATATGGTACGAAAACATCGTTACATTTATTAGTTCACAATATGAACGATGTTACACTATACAAGCAAAGGGAGAAAACCCGACTGTTTAATAGCATGAAGGGTGCAAACAGTTTTTCTAGTCTTAAGTTCAACAGAACAGTTGAATAATATCACGTAGCATCAAACATCGTCAATACTTTACTCAGTGATATTTCCTTATAATACACTTTACGAGACAAGACCATTTATATGTTTATTCATAGTCTTCCAGCTACTAACAGCTAACAGCTGAAACCCCTTAACTTATCGACTTGTTTAAGATTGTCGTTATGGTTTAGATGGTCAGTGTGTTTTAGGTTGTCAACGTGTGTTAGGTTGTGAACGTGTGGCAGGTTGTCGGTCATCCTCGATATCCAGGGTTTACGCTCACTTTCGCTCTCTACACCCCTGGAATATGTCATAGCAAAATTGATGTACACCAAAAGGATATAACTAGTCTTCTTGTCTCGTCAACAAGGTGGCGAACACCAAGCCTTCAATTTTGATATGGCATATTCCAGGGGTGCAGAGAGCGAAAGTGAGCATAACCCCTGGCTATCGAGCATGATTGTCGGTGTTTGCTAGATTGTTGGCGTATTTTAGGATGTCAGCGGCGTGGTTAAGGTAGTAGTTGAGTTTAAATTGTCTGCGTGTTCTAGATTATTGGCGTATATTTCTGTCTTATTCTGTCCAACAGAAGAACATGTACTACGCCATTTAATGCTGCAACTTAACCTATTCGTCAACGTCACAATAGGTTTAGAAAGTACTACTGCATCAATAAAGTGGCTTTTCTGGCCAATATTTGTGACACGCATTGACTAATGTAAATAGGGCTATATCGGTCAAGTGTAGGCTTTGGATTGTAGAGGTCCCGACTTTGACTACTGAACTTGTATTGCTTTCATGTTTTTTATTTACTTATTTTTTCTAATTTTAAACATTCAAATTTTAAAAAGCTACAATTTCACATGGAAACAAATGATTTTTTTAACCATTTCCTTTAAAAAAAACGTTTTCTTTATTGTAACGCTAACCTTAAAACGAATTATTCTTTCCGTTATACATTTACAAAATATTGCAAAAAGATATCAACTTACAATTACCGATAGTTCTTAGTTATGTGAAGGCATCGTCGGTGAGTTGTAATACACTGATCCGGTACATCAGTTCATCAATATCACGTGGCTACATGTACCCTTAATAATTCACTGAATGATATCTGTATACACAATAACTTACCTGTACAGTACTGTGTATTGACGTCACAGACGTATGTTGTACAAGTGGACGGACAACTCCTATCACAGTGGTCGGTGAAGTTTCCAGCTTCATAGCTTTTAAATATAATATAGATTATAACACAAATGGATGGAATGTTTCTCCATTAGGATAGAATTACAAAGAAATTAAGCAAAAACTGTATTTGACAAACTGGAACTTAACAGGTCACCTATGACGAATTTCTAGAATATTTAATCCTTACTAGGCTATAATCGAGGGATATCAACCCAAGGGGCAGCCTTGTGCTTGACAGCTTAAGAATGTTTGCCTGATAATATAAATGTTGAGTGTCCATTCTCTCATCTGTTTGGCTTTACAGTTGTCCGGGCATGTCAGTAACTCTAAATAATGTGATCAAATGCATTTCAGTTGATATGCTTTTATTCAAAAGCAAACGATTTACTGATTGCATTTTGCCGATAAAACTATTCGCAGTGTAATGTGGCAAATTAAAACATGTTATATGTATATTCATATATGTAGCTATACAGCATGCTATTTGAATTACTACAGAGCAGGACACAGAAAACGGGTTTATACAAAAACCGCTGAAAAAATAAACATAAGATGGACATTTTGAATTCGCTATGTCATGACATTTTGGAGCGGTTGATGAATTACCAATGATTTTTAATAACTACGAATTTCCCCAACCTTTACAACGTCATTTATCCGTTCACATTGCACAATCTACAATTAACTTTTGAAGAGGCCAGATTGCAGGTCAGTCCACATTTCCAACTTCAAAGACTACAAAATTAAACGCATATTCACATATACGAATTTGGTTTTCTTCATAACAGAATATATGGAACAGCTGATGATCAATTACATAATCGTGTACGTACCAACTGATAATTACTTACAGAATCGTGTACGTACCAACTGATAACTACTTACAGAATCGTATACGCACCAACTGATAATTGCTGACAGATTTTGCCAGCTTATTATATATTACTGAATTATATATGCATTGCTAAACATCAATTACAGATTGTACAGGTTCTCAGCTGGTTATTTATTTCAGATTTTTTTTTTTATCAGCTGATCTTCAATTACAAATTAAATATGTATTGTGTTTAAATGCAGATATGAAGGTTTTTAGTACAAATGTGAGAATCATTAGTCTATGTCTGTTCAATCAGATAAAATACAATTACCGGAATTCAGAAAATACCGTTACGCTGTAACACAGTCAATGATTAGGTAAATATACCATACCTTTATTGCTATCTGATAACAATATGATTTAATTTGGAGTTTTATTAGTTGCATATTGATAATATATGTGATAGATCATAGGTGTTGGCATGTAGCTTTTCCTTTATTGTGATGATTTTCGACTCGATTTTTGTAAAAAAAAGTCGATTTTCTGGATATATGTTTCTCTGTTCAGCTGTGTATTTTCAATAACCATCAAGATCAGATCCTACGAAGAAACAATGTATAGAATAAAGATAAAAGTAAACAGGTGAATAGTGCGAATTAAAATGTCATTCATCAGTTATTTCATCATAAAACGTACAATTTATTACCGTTCGTACTTTTCTATACTTATGTAACGTTATGCAATCCCAAAAGGACACAAAGAGGTGTAACAATAAAAAGAATGTTTTACGTGCAATTTTAAATGTCGATTTTCAAAAGAACAAATTGATCAAAATAGTTATTACGTCGACGCTGTCTACATGTATCAGTTTACTAAAATATACTTATACGTACCAAATGTTTCATTGTCTCTGTGAACTTGCAGAAATGGTTTGTACATCATTCCACCTTGCTGTGCCTGTTAAGTCTGAGTGACTTTGGCGCCAAATGTACTCAAACACCACTTAACAATACAACTAAAAACGAAGCACTTTCATTCACACTCTTATGCACGATCATGGACACTACAGGAAACGTACAACACGTGACATGGACACTACAGGAAACGTACATCACGGAACATTGGCACTACAGGTGCAGGTAAATATATTATGCATTACAATGTAAAAATGCAGGACATCATGTGAAAACAACTAAGGCAGTACTCTAAAGTTGCTTATTTTACATTCAATAGTTTGATCAATAAACATTTCGGGTACCGTATGACTAAAAAATACTGTACCATTGCAATTTCCGGTGTTTCTTTCACACTTGTCTTTACAGCTGACTGGACAGGTCTGAGTACAGTCGGAGCCATACAGACCAGGTACGCATTCTACAAACATACAGTTCATTTAATGTATCGATAATTATGTCATCTAATATGCAAAACTTATTGTGTTTTATTGCAAGGGCATTTTTTCCGAAATTCATGAATATTCTATAGTTGTTATAAACGTTAAAAAAGGTTAAGATGATAAAAAGTACGCCAAAACAATTCTGAACACAGTCCATACGCAAAGAATTATACATAAATGTTGTTTATCTTGAGTAGAAAAAGCAGCAACGGGAACTGAGGCAAAATCAAAAGGGAAGGGAGCAGGAGGGGGTAAGCGTTAACTTAAACACGTGATGGTGTTTTCGGTTTTATGATGTGGACCATGCAATATGTTCATATGTATTGAAGCCTTCCAGGTAGTAAAACATGCTTTTTAATTTGTTGGACCACAGGACGCATCTATAAAGAAATCTTACAGAAGATAGTTTAAGCACGAATCCTTTGTGACATGAAAACATTTTTTTTAATACATTATTTTTCTTCAAACATTACGCGATTTTGATGTTCAAATTATATCTGAGTCATGTGATAAAGATAGGTTCAGTGACTTTTGTTTTTCGAGGAACTCTTCTGTCAAGTTTAAGACAAGCACATACTTTTAAAGAAAAAAACGTGTAGTTTAAAAACAGAGCCATTGATCAATGATGATCTTTTGAGTGATATGTACGACAAGATTATCAACTCGACATAAAAAGCCAGGGTATCAAAGGTTGAAGCTGACTGACAGTTGTTTCGCACATGTCGTGAATCCGAGGAAATGTGGAAAAGAATTAAAACATTTCTTCCCAATTCAAAATCTTCTCTTGTTTCGAGTGTCAAAGTTAATGAGAATGACGTTACATATCACTTTGTATTTCAAACTGATGCAATACATTTTAGTACCATTGGCTCTATAATTGTAACCAAGTTTGACGACAGCCTCCTAAATGTAGATTTATTCAATACTAATAACAAGTTTGTTATCCCCAATGTAAACAATGAATTCGTACGAAAACAATTCAAACCCCAAGATGATAGCAAAGTTTCTGGCCTAGATGGCCTTAATGTAAAGTTACTGAAATTGGCTGGTGATGCTGTAATTAATCAACTTGTTCTATCTATTAATTTATGTACATTTCTAAAAAAATGGAAACATGCAAAACATTCTCCAGTGTACAAGTCTGGTGATAGGTCTCTGGTCAACAATTACAGGTCTATCTTTGTTTTGCCTATTGTAAGTAAGATACTAGAGCAAAACTATCATGGTTTTCTATTTTCGTATCTATTCGATAATAGTCTTGTTGACTGACAGTTAACTGATATTCGTACGCTGTTTCCTTACGGGAAATATCTTCTTGGTACTGATCCTGTTTCACAAAACGCAGCGATACTACCTGTACCCAAGTAATACATTATGCTCCAGTATCAAAAACCTCTTTCACTTGGTTTCAATACTGAGCGATCACATTATTATTGCTTGGTGATACCTTGAAATTTCATTGTATATATAATAAATTCTGAATCCAATGTCTTACCATTGCATACTCCATCGATTTGTTGACAACTATTGTCTTTGCATGTTCCCGGACAATTCGATGAACAGTATGGACCATACATTCCAGGAGTGCATTCTTAAACATATGTACTAATAAAAATTACAATTCAGAATATATATATGCACATTCTTGCATTTTGTTAATTGAAGTTTGATAATTCTTTCCATTTTGCTTGTTTCTTAATAGAAACCTAAAAAAGTATACAGTATTGTTATAATAATGATAAAACAACTTTCTATTCATTTTCAGACTATATACACCGGAGCCAAAGCTTAACGATAAACCGGTAGTTAAACAATACCAAGAGATCCAGACCGTAGTAACACTATGATACATGAATAACGGAACTGCTATAGCAACATAGTATTCCTCTTAATTAAAGAATCAACGGTTATCGTCATTGAAGTCGATAGAAGAATACAAAACTCTTTATATGGGTTCTGGCGGCCGCTCACATCAGCCGAATGTATTACCTTATTCGTTGTTGTTAGAATTACAACTAAATTTAATATTTCGTAAAATTACAATACTGACTTATATAGTGGAAATTCATCTTCGCGCATGTTTTGACTGTACAGATCAAATAGTAATCACGTGTTTAATGATAACTGTTTCTTCTAAAAACACATTCTATTAATCAGTATCTTTATTTATATTTCACCAAATACATATAATAATTTAAATGAAGTTTTGAAATTACATGTCATTGCATTTCCTTTACTGATAAACACCTGTCTCGTATTTGCATATAATGTTCGGATTTTCACCCATGTACCACATAAGATTTACAATGTTCTGTTCGAATATAGTCATGACAATAGAACTCTTAATGATCAATTTAAAAAGGAACCTGGTCTACTTCCTATGGAATATGAAAATTAAAATTACCTGGGCAATATCCATTTTCCTTCCAGCATGATTTGCCTTTACAGTTGTCAGAACAATCAAGGTCACACGCGTCACCGTACTTTCCATTAACACAGTATGTAATATGAATATATGCAGTATAATATCTCTTAACATTTTCCAATTATGTCATATATGGTGTTAGATTATTTCAATGACATATTGTATTAAGTGTTTTATATAGCTCTTTCATAAAGTACCACTATATCGTTTCGTTACAAAAAGTTTACGTATCTGAGTTATTAGAAAATATGCATGTATTCAAATTTTGTATTTCCGGTGAGAGAGCAGATATGCTTTTGAATAATCCATGTCACTCCAGTTTCTTCTTTAACTTAAAACATTCCTAAAATTTATTTTGTGTTTTCATGATAAATCAACTTAGGCATTCTAGAAACAACCCCTTCTCATATACATTAGTTTACATCTCTCCTCGCACAACATTAGAGCATGTACATGGATCTAAACTGCAATGTTATAATTACCATAACATTGTTCTGAGGTCTGGTCACACGTCGCACAATTTGAGGAACAGCTTGTATCACATAGATTGCCTTTTTTACCGGGAATGCATCCTGCTGCATGTAACATAAATCGTCATGATATTATTTCACTGAGGGGGAAACAAAAATACTCATGAATTATAATTTGTTTTGAAATTCAATTTGCAGGACGAATTGACATTGCTACATTAGAGATGTAACTGTTGAATAACACTGCCACACTTACAGGGAACATACTCTGTAACTAAAGATCTTGTCAAATGACGTATTCACACCATTTTTGATTATACATATCTTGAAGAACTGTTTACATATCTATTTTCTGGATTTAACCCCAATACTACACTATTTATTGCAATATAAATGTAAATCACAGATTTCATGTAAAGAGAGTATAAAAAAGAAACAACTAATATATATTGTTTTATTTTGTGTTATTGTGCGGTTGTCAAAAAAAATGAAAAAAGTAAGAGCTTGTCGAGTTAAATGAGCATCAAAATAGAATAGTTAATATTTTGATCTAGAAAATAGATGTAGACTACTACCTTTATAATATTGTAAATTAAAAAACCATATAGTAATAACTATTTAGATGTGTATACGAATTACCTAGGCAATACCCATTGCCCTTCGTGCATGATTTGTTTGTACAGGTGTCAGAACAATCAATGTCACACACGTCACCGTACTTTCCATTGACACATTCTGTAATATAAACGTATACAATTCTGTCACAAATACTCAAAGTATGTCACATATTTTGCAACTAAATAACATAAAATATTCACATTTAATAACTTTATATACTATGTAATATAAACAAAATCGGCCCCGGGAGATACATAATCAAAATCATGGCCAATACAAGAAAAGTCAATCAATTCAGATTTGGCTCGACATGAACACATCTTGAAAATTTGTAAATTCCCTACGTCATCATCAAGAAAATTTTGACCATTATTTTATCAATACAGATGTCACAAAGCGAAGGACTGGTGAAGTTGAATTTTCTTTTGGATGCTTGAAAATAAACAAAATTGTTTCTACATTGATTTATGATTTTCTTTTTAAGTGTCACAGGATAATAATTCTGCTCACTACATTGACCTAGGTATTGCCTCGGGCATCGGACAACCAACTATGCCAATACAAAAATAGCCAATCAATAATAATATAATATATGTATTTAAATACACAATAATTAGTGTCAAAATATATAATTTAACTCGAATTGTCAAATTTAAAACTAAATCTTTTACCTAAAATGATGCAAGTACAGAATATATACTTGGTTTACAATTGAGATATTTTAACTCAGATATTTCAATATCAGGAACCGGGCTAATAAAAACCAAACTACTAGGCATTATATAAAGCAATGACCTTCAACAAAAGTATACAAAATTTCCAATGACATCACAAATGGCGATCATAAAACTTTCAGATAAACACATGTTTGCCCTTAAATTCTTGGGTTGTAAAATTGTCAATCAGTAGTCGCCATCTATCACGGAAACGTGATATACAGGACAAACTCTTAAACACCGGATGAACGGCGACATGTAAACACCACTGAGTGGATATTAATGATGCCGCTTTTAAGACAGAGAATGTTTACAACCAAACACTCGAAACCATCAAGCTTGTCGCATAACTTAGTTTATCATGCGTGGCAACATGTTGTTATCATAGATCGAGCTAAGCAACTGTTGTAGGATAGTCTTACGTGTCTATGAATTTAACTTATAGAGTAAATAGCATCGACATAGTCACCTACTATCTTGGTACTTAAAGATGACACTTACTCAATTTGTCTGAAAGTGGCATTGAATGCTTTGGCATAGTTGTATTATAAGTCTCGATAAAACCCTTTGGGACAGCATATGATTACAAAGATAAAAACAAGTTGTAATTTTTTTATTTCTTATTTTTTTTTTCATTTGGTCCTATTTTAATAATCTCTCAAATCTTTGCTGAAAATACCTTATTTCTGTGATGTCAAGATCAATATTTACACCCGAATTTGAAATGCAATATAATCAATGCATTGCAACCATACAACCGCATATTTATAATTGTTTGCAATTTCATATTGTCACAAACAAAAAACAGTGTTTTGGATTAAGGAATGTGTAACTCTGATAGCCCGAAGCCTTGAGCTACATGTAGCAGGTTTATGTGAAGGCAAGTGAAAATTCAAATTTGGAAATAGTTCTATGTGTTTTGCGATTTCAGCTATGATACCCTAAAATTATCCTGTTTCAAATCAAGAAAAGATTAATATTGTATGTTTGCAAAATTTTACCATTATTTACTCTTTTTGTATAAGCTGAAACCATTCACAAACAGATGATTTAGGTATTTTTGTGAGTTTTCCAGAAGTGTAGGTCAGTCTATGGACTAGTGAGGCAGTAACAAAAACGTGAGACTGAGGTTTAAAACTACATGCAAGAATTTGTGACAATAAACGGTAATTTAGTCAAATGTCCTGCTTAAAAAGAATGTAGGAACTTTTCGTATTTCTAGAGTGATTTTTAAGCAGAACTTATGACATAAATTTTGAAGGAACCTCTCCAAATATTCTGGATACTAGTTTGAAGTAATTTTATGCTGAAGTCAGAAATGGGGATGACAAGTATTACTGTAAGAGTACTTGTGTTGGAATTCAGGCTGCGATTAATAGTTATATTAGGAATCCAACATTCTACTAGCAATTTTTAATTTTGGAAAATACATCATTTCTGAAATCAAACAAGATGTTCATTGCAATGCTTAAAACCTTAAAAACAAATAAGAATGGCAATAAACCTCACCACCATCCAATTTCTGACAAATGTATGGAGAATTGAGGTCATCTGAATTATTCAGTCTAGATAATTCCAAGTTCCTACAGATGTAGCTGTGGTTCGATTTAACCCTGAGCTTTGACAGACGGGGTGGGAAAAAATCTTTGTGAACTGAAGCATGACTCTTTTGACTTTGAAACTGATAGAGAGGATAATGCATTTGTGCAAATGGCCTACAATGAAGCAACTAAAAATCACAGCGGAGAACATTTGGATGGAAATGACTATGAACTGTCACCAAGATTGTATTCAACAGGAGAATCGAATTGCCCTGTGAAATCACCTAAACTCTTTTTACAAAAGAGGAACCACAAATCTGACCATCTCTTTCAGCAGCCCAGGGTCAAAGTTGAGTAAGATGATGAAACTTGTAATATATCTATACCACTTTGCAATAGACCGCTGAATGATATGATGAAAATTATCAGTAAAGATGTAGGTTTTGAGAAGAATTTACACCAACCAGTATGTGCGTGCCACAATCATAACACGCCTATGTAGCACACGCAGGTATAGACCCTCGGGAAATCATAAAAAATATCAAGGCACCGAAATTAATCCACCCAGTGTACAAAGTTACAACTCTGAGAGTTCTGAATCACAGAAGAAGTCATATCAAAATATATTACTGTGCACTTTAGCGGGGGAAAAAAGTTGACAATGTTTTTTAATTTAGAGCCAGTTACGAGGTCTGACGTATCCGCCTCTTGGTATGTTCAACCCACTCAATCTAACGCAAACATTGTCCATTACTAACCTCCAGCATTTAACAGGAAATTTAACTCAACAGTATATGTCAACAACTAATTGCAAACTACCCGTCTCATAACTGAAACATCGTCAGCTCCATGTCATCTATATTCGAGACAGTGTTAACACAAGGCGCCCGGGCGGCTACATATGTACGCACTTTGAAAAGACACGCTTGTAAATATTTAATAGAAAAAAAGCTAAATGACAATTCAATAGGCCATTACTAATACTTACATACCTATGTACAATTACATTATTGATTACCCGAAAATGATATGTATTTCTGGTCTGTTTCAAAGGATCATTTTTCTTTCGAGGACGAATATCTAATGAGTGAGCTGGTTTGTAATTACGTTACTGACCCGTATGCTTTATGGAAACACCGCGTCTATTTTAAGCGCCTGCGACCAAATCATACGTTTTGAACGAAAACGAATTTGAATTGGGATAATTCTACCGTGTTTTGAGACTTGCGGCGGTATATCGTTATTATACTGTTACAAATCTGCGTCGCCAGTAAAACTCAATTTGCGACAGTATAATCACGATATACCACCGCCAATCTCAAAACAAGGACATGGAAGGTTATCCTCTAATTTAATAACTATCATCAATCAGAAATAACAAGTATCAGGTATTACGCCTGCATGTGGAATAACGGTCTTAATTCAATAAGTATGATAAACACTCATGACATAGATCAATAGATAAATGAAATGGTGATAATCAATATGCAACTATTCTATATGCGTAAATAATACTATTTTAATGGTACTATGTATAAGGTAGTATAAATACACTCAGAGTAGAATTCAATTTGTCTTTCAGAATCCCCCCCCCCCCCCCCCCCCCCCCCCCTCCCACTACGATATTAAGTATTCATGTCTACTAAGCTTACTCGACTCTTGCAGTTTGTTCACGAACAAAACAATTTGCATGGTTTTATGGCTGATTGCTTTAATTACCAAAACATTTTTCGGACGTCTGTTCACATGTCACACAATTCACAGGACAGTTGGCATCACAGAGGTCACCTCTTTTATCGGGGATACATCCTGAAAATAAAATAATGACGTAACCACGTGTATATTTCTAACAAAAACTCACATTATTAGATGCCGTCGATTTATGTAGCGGGTTTTTTCAACTGAAAGAACAATTTCTGGAGAAGTAAATGAAGCAGAAATGCTTTTCTAATTTTCTATTATTTGCACAATTTTTTCTAGTATTTTCTTAACCGAGTAACATATTCAACCATATACACAAAGAGTTGCCTTATTTTCGCATATACGATAAAGGTGAAAACATTGCGCCAAAACTGTTTGCAGTTTCATTCTTCATTATATTGCATATGACTGCAGTGTGTGTTAAAAAAGCCAATGTTCGATTACAGGAGAACAAAACTTATACTTAATAAAAGTCATCTCACCATAAAAAAGGGTTCATTTACAAGTATGCTCACATCTCTTTGTAAATTATTTAAAATATATGATTATCAAGTATCTAACACGTTCCATATCTGACACACGTTTTAGATGTATTTGTATAGGCTTTGCTAGAAAGGTGTATAGTGTGGGATGAATAATATGACTTATCATGTGATAAAGCGTATAAAGACAGTGAAAGTGGGAAAAAAGTATACATTAACAAATAATGCATGGTCTTAAATAAAGTGGTAAAAGATAATGAGTTTTAATAAGAACTTTTACAAACACTTCTCTTTTTCATACTTGTCTATGCAAACATTCACTTTATGAAAACATTTGAAAGAATTTTCGTCTCCTGAATATTCCTTTTTAGAGAAAGATTTATCACGTGGTTGGGAGAAGGTTAGAGTCCCGTGCCCATTTGAATGTGTCCTTGTATCGATAAATAATGCCGAGCTTACAACAAACATTTCTTCATTTTAATATTGGCATGTGTGCAATTAACTTCTGATGATGAATTCTTACTGCTCTATGGTTTCATAGTGCGGTAAGAAGTTTCCCGACTACATCCCCTCTATTTGGGGCCCTTGGTAGACTTGACATATCGGTCGGATCACCTGTGTTTTCTCCCTCGATTCAAAATCGTCACGTGACGGTATCGGCACTACATTTAATAGGGCTTTCCCGTACCAATTGTGTGGTCAAACTGGACATTTGGAACAGACTATGCATATTTGGATATTAAGGAAACATAATTGGAAAGCCAGACAATACGTGCATTGGTATGTCCCTTTAAGCAACCGCGTTAGGTAATTCAGCGACATTCAGATCAGACCCCCCCCCCCCCACACACACACACACCACACACACACACACCACAAACACCCGTATGACATATGAAGTATTCATGTCTAATGAGCTTACTCGACTTATGCAGTTTGTCCACGAACAAAGCAATTTACATGGTTTTATGGCTGATTGCTTTAATTACCAAAACATTTTTCGGACGTCTGTTCACATGCCACACAATTCACAGGACAGTTGGCATCACAGAGGTCACCTCTTTTACCGGGGATACATCCTGAAAATGAAAATTATGGCATGATATATATTAACATATATACAATACAATGCATTACCTTTGTTAAAAACTACTTGTAATTTGTAACGGTACACTTTTTTTATGTGTCAACGCAGATTTTTCATTAACACTTGGCGACTCGAAAAAACATTGAAAGATTCCAAGATTTTTAGTCATAAATCAATACCGTTACTCAAAATCGGTCTGGCACGCCGGATAGATCAATTATCACGCAAAATGTTTGAATATCAACTCTTTGAGACAACGTTATGAAAATGCCATATGAGGTTGCACTTCTTAAAATAATGTTATTCATTCCGTTATAAGTTAAAATAATCGACCACAAATTGACCCTTGCTGACGAGATTGGGTGATAATTATGTACGCACCCCTCATTTTTGTTCTTAAAGAAATTATATTTGGTACTCGAGGTCAAGGTCAAATACATGAACATTGAACTTAGTAATCTACTTTCATTACATCAAGTTGTGACCGTCAGGTCTTCAAGTGATGTCTGATATCCAGACATAAAATGGTAGCCAAGATAATATATGGCAACCTTCACATACATTGTATTAAAAACGCCATATTGAGGACAAATATTCCTTTACTACTAAGTTCACTCACACGAAATCTTAGATCTTTTCACAAATTTGGAACCAGGGGTATAAATATAAAAACACATTAATCTTTTTCTTCGTGATGGGGTATACAGTCGTCTCATTATTATTCTCGGGGAATACAAAATTAACAAATTATTGAAAAGTACGATTAAATCCGATTAATCCGATTCAATGAATGTTCTCGACAAACAATATCGAGGACAAATATCTCCAATGATGTTAGTTGAACTAATATTTATGGCATATCAATAAAATATAATAAGGCAATCAAGATATGAAAACACGGCAAAATGTTGGGGAAAAGCTAATGATAAAATTAAACATACGTACCTATACAATGACCCGTATCTTTCTCGCAAGTGCTGTTACAGTTAGCAGAACAATTTTGTTCACAGACTTCACCAAACATTCCGGGAAAACAATCTGTAATGTAGATACACAATTTACCGTTATTGTTTTGAAGGTAAACGATGTTGATAAAATATCCATTTGAAACAAGCATGTTAACTGAAAATAATTATCACCAAATATAATAAACCATGTGTGGATTTCTGTTAAATATGTATATTCATGTAGATATGTATGTGTTACGTATATAAAAGGTAGTTAAATATACTGATATACTGTTAAAATCAATATTCGATCATAAATATAGTATAATAATAATACAAGCTTTTAACACACAAGTCACTTATTTATGTTATACATTTTCGTGAGGAGTATATTGGTCATGGACGCCTTTTCTGTTCTTATGCATCTCATACATTTTAAAACATGTTGTAACGTTGGAGTCAAAATACCATAAATGATGTTTGTTAAAGGTTGTATTTGTCAGAGACTTTAAAACATGTCAAATACCTCTTATATCACTGTCAGATATTTCAAAGAAGCACGTACACTGGTGTTTTGTGAACATAATATTATCCAATTTTTAAATAACAAATCTATGCATACACGTTTCGAACAGGGGATGTATAACTGATTTGATAGTAATACGTCGTGCTCATGTTTGCCTTGTTCAAGTTGCTGTGTTAAGTAAAGTATACAACAAACCAAACACAGTTGCCTTCCAAAGTACAGTCTATTATCTCGTTGTTAACACACCGTTTACTAATCGTATTTAAGTAAGATGCAAGGATGTGAATTTAGGTGTTACTAACGATAAAGTGTTAATAAAAAAGATGCTACAGCATCATTAAGCCCCTGTTACAGTATACTCAAATACTTTTATTACGAATAATTTACTTGTACAGTGGGTATGTATATTGAAATTAGATTTATTGTGTAAATACTCTAAATATACAGTCTAGTAGGAACACACAGAAGCAGGATCCTGTTATAGCGTTACAGTTTCCTCCATAGCAGCTTTCTGGGCAAGGATTATTACAGCTTTGGTTACCATAACTTCCGATTTGGCAGCCTGAATGACATAAAATGAAACACATGTTATTTGTATTGGTATACTAATTACAACACACTTTTAAATAGTTGTTTTTGTTCCTACAAAATATCTTGATGAATTCAAAACCAATATTTACAAGTTACGTTAATGGAATGCTGAATTGAGAAACAGTTCTTGAAGCCTAAGGTTGAAATTATATAAAATCATATAAAGAAAAAAGCAATATAAATGTACCTACCAAAGACCTGAACTTCACACAGTTCCAGAATAGCATCGTTACTATACCAGTCGTGTCGTTTTGGTTCCTCTCTGTGATTGTAGACAGTCACATACTGAGCTACGTATGGACACAGGTGGGTCGGGTTTACGTTTACGTTACTTCTGTTATCCTGATAGCAGAGAATGCCTTCTATGTGGTTGGTGGAGTTGGACACGTACAGTGAATATCCACCGAATCGGTATCCAGTGGTAGCTGTAAAACAAATTAGTCATAAATACAATAAATATCAAACAAATTTACTTTATTTTAATTTCGGCGTTTTTATTTATACACAACCCTGTTTTAATGTAATTTATGCAGTGGACTTTTTATACTTTTACATTTTTTTTTATTTGTAGAAGGAGGTATGTTTGGGTATGAGTGATGTGGTCCTACCGGTCATTCGTGCGCATAAATGTGTTGCTAAATTTATAACACTATAAATAAAAACGCCGCATCATTATCTATTCAGAAGCTGATAATTGCAAATTGCGGAACACGGTTAGTACAGTCAAGGTAAATTAAAAGTCAAAGATATCATCATCACCAGCCCCTGCTTTCCCCTTGTATTGTTCAGACTTTCTGGACGTGCATAACTTAACATATTAGTGTTCAATTTTTTGATTTTCTAACGTAACTGTAAAGCAATTCGTCGACATTATATCATGTATGTTGTGTATGTGATAAAATGTATTCTTACTGGCATTAATATAAAATAAGATATTTTGCGTATGATGTAAATCTGTTTAACTTTCATCTTTTTATGATTTTTTTTAAAGTCAAAACAACCGTCGTTTAATGTAATAAACGACCATGTTCAATTAAAATGTTGTGTTTATGTTTTATTTTGTCATGCTTGTCTTACGAGCTTGTCAAGGTGAATGTCAAGTATAAATATGTATAATGTATACACCGTTGACTATTTGAGAATATTATTCTGAAACATAATGACAGTTGTCAAGCTTCAAAACACCATATGTTCAATAAATTGTATGTGGTTTATGCTAACTTAAGTATAATGTACTAAACTATTGTCAAAGCTTTATAACCCGAAGCCTCTTCACCTGAAATACGTCCCAAAAGTCAGATGAGTATAAGAGCCTGAAACATTGATATTACACATAAAAGATAACAAGGTTCCAACTAAGTACAATCACCGGCAGTCGACAATAAAATCCTTCATGAAATTGTGTTAATCACCAAATGCCTATAACAAATAGTGATATCAAACACTACAAACATTATGTATTTGTTCGATATTCGTTGATATGCATATGGGGCGTCAAGTAACGATAATTTGCAAATTCCGGATTGTAGTGAAACTTTGAATCGTTATAAATTCTCTGCACAACATCAGATAGGATCAGTTTAATCAGACTAACCTCTGTAGTATATCGTGATGTATTGTATTGTTATGCTCTGTCCTAAATCCACACGCCACCAGACTTGTTTGCTACCTGAGTTTTATGTATGAGCACAGCAATGAGGTTCGTTTCCAATCACTTGAATGATGCAATCATCGATAGCTTTATCTGCTGCCCATCTATTGTCCTGGGTTGTCGATTGTTCAGCAATTCCCGTTAAAGCAACATTTTCTTAAACGTCAAAAAGAAAAGTTATTTTCGGTATTTTTTCAAAACGTACATTTGAAGGAAAAAGTAACTCTCTTTTTAATTTTGAGTAAAAATCTTATGAGGTAAAGATGTGAAATTGCACAACGTTGTTAACAATGTGCGACGATGTCTACTCTAAAAATAGCTTAACAATAAGAAGGCGATTCCTTCCCTTCGCATTACTACTAGTCATTGTTAAGCCGTTTCCCTCATACAATTTGATAATATCTTTATTTCTATGTTTAATGAGTAAACTCAAGTTTAAGAATTTCATAACTCTTAGATGTTTTTAATTGAAGCTCAAATAATCTGTTGAAGCACACCCCAATTTCTAAAAGTACACAACATATTTTAGCACAAGATACATAGCTTATTATATTCACACTTAAAAAATAATATGATCAATAGTTTCATTCCAAGTGTATGACTATTGTTAGCTGGCCTTTGCATAAAGTTGTTCTATTATATTTTTCATATACAGCCTCCCCAGATTTTAAAGTGTTTTTTGTTGAGTCTTACAATGTATGGTTTTTGATTTTATTTGTATTTATCATATAATTGTTTACCATCATAATATATACCTTGACCAATATATTGTTTATTGATTTAATGTGCTTTTGTTGTGTGTATACTCGGACTATTAGCTGTTCATGGCATTACATCTCCCTTCCCCAAATTTTCTTCCTGTAAAGTGACGGCATCACAGGGAGCAGGAAGTGCTATATGTTAGTAGTTCAGTTGATAGCTAGTCAGTTAAGATGGATATCTGATTAACTTTTATTACTCATGTTTTATATAGAATTAGAACTTTGTGTTAATTCTAAGTGTGTTAACACGTTAAAATTCAATACAATTTACTCCAAAAAATATTTAATTACCTAAGATACTGTAACAAAAACAGTAACAGAGGTACATGTACCAAGATTTCTTCTCAAAAATATTTGAGCGGTACATGTATGTGAAATAATTGTGTGCAAAAGATGAAATTGATAAGTGTGTGTTTAACTGGTGTGCTCGAGGTTAATGTTATGTAAATGAGATGAGATTTGTTGGTGCTGACTCCTAATAGCACAATAGCACATGTACATCAGGGGTGATAACTTTATCCTTATCACAACAAAAACACCCATTAAAATTCCAATGAGTGCTTGGTTCGTTTTTCGTAGAAGCATACACTGAAATTCACAAAGTTGTCAAACAAACAATACTTTGAAGGATCATTTATGATGCAACCAAACCTAGGGATCATATGCTTGTTTGTTCTAAATTTACAAGAAAACAGCGTATTTCAAGCTTTGTCGGAACTTTTTAGCCCTGGGTGCAGCTGTTCCGGATTTTGAAGATTGTTATGATAGCCAAGATAATGAAGTATACTTTAGGTATAAACACACATTCCCATAGTTCTTTGGTCAACTGGACATGTTGAATGAATCCAAACAATATATTTATTCTGGCTCTTGTGTCTGGAACGAATCTGACAACGGATGAGGTCTTGAGAGTGATAATAGACCCATATTTCATAATCTCCATCATCACTAAGATGTTCATTTATATAGCCTGGAGCTTTTGATATCTGGTTATGCCAAATTAAGTTGTGGAAAAGTAATGAAGATGCATCCATCTTTACGAATTCTGACTTTGCTCTCTTGAGAGAGCTGGTTGTTTTCACTCTCTGAGCCAAACATTTTGTTTATGTAAGTCGAAACGTCATCTGTTGTGCGAGTTCTCTGTCTTTTCTGTCAGTTTCTGGTGGTCTTTGGTAAATTGGTCCCCGTATCCCATGCGGTCACAATCTTTAGCACTTCCTTATTTATATCAATAAAGCAATTTGATCTTTGTTGAGTTCTACAAAATGTCTAATGCTTATGGCGGCCATGATAAGATAGTAATTGTCCTGTCAAAGTTAGCCTGTAGATCAGAGTGTTGGCTCTGACTAGGAGTAAGATATGAGGGCATGCCGGTATTAATACCAGATGTCTCTAACATCGGCAGAACATCTCTAAACAAAGAATCAACGACTACATTTTCGTCTTGCTCCAACCATGTGAGCTTGTCTATGATGTTGTTGTGAAAGTAGCCAGCAGGTAGAGCTATGCTCATGCATTGAAGATAATTTCTCTTCTTCTGGCCACATTAAGACAATCTCTGAAGCTTATGGTCAACACTTTTTCTTTATATAAATATATGTACTATCTAGTATGGCAGTCACTTTGTCTCCAAAGAATACAGTATTGTGTGAAAGCATATATTCCCTACCCAAATGGTCACGACCAAGAAAACATTGGAACTATAAATGTATTCAATGCTTGTACTACAAAATGAAAGGTTTTTGAAATACTAGACAGGGAAATGCCAAAAAGAGCGGTACACTGATTCCAAGAGATATCGGTTTTCATCTTAACCTAACACAGTAAAAGACCATCTCGTGTAGTTTTGGTTTATATTGAAAGAGAAAGAAATGGGACCATTTGCGAATGGATTTTGAGAAGCTGTTCTTTGGATCAACCTGTCCAAGCTTTTCAGCCCGTGTAATCCAAAGATGAAAGGTGAGAGTTAAGGCTGATTGATTCTTTGATCAGATGTACGACACTTCTAAAAGGTCATCAACTATTTCAGATAACATACTTAATAATTGAGAAACCAAAGACTCTCTTCCTTGAAGGATAACCTCTGTACATGGGTTAGGTCATTGCCAATAAGATGAAATGAGTATACACCCGTGATGACGTAGAACACCACATTTGTGTGTGAAAATTAACTGATGCCTGGCACTTTTTTGTGTGAATTTGTTTTTCTTCGAGTTATTTTTTTTCAAACAAAGACAACATTTTTTATGTGAACAGGACCCGTAAAACAGGTCCTTGATTGTTAAGAGAGGAAAAATACTAGTAGTTTCATCTTCCAAACGTTCAGTTTCAGATCCTCTTTGGCGCAGATACCATTTGTAGCACTTCGGACAAATACTAATATCTTCATTCGAGCAATCTATCCCACTTTTAATCAGTTTATCCAAGAGCCATTAATATCGTGTTTTTTTCACATTTCTTGAACCTTCATATTTACGAAATTTCTTGAAAACACGATGGCAACCTTCACCAATAAATTAACTCTTTATTATGAGATGAAAATTAGCAAATGAGTATGAAATATCTCCTTACAGCAACGTAATAAGAATACACTGATGATAAAATGTATAAAAATTGATAACAAAATGTATAAGAACAAATTCTAAAAAATTACAAGGATATTACATTTGATGTCAAAATTGATTGTTAACGAAAACTTTATCAATCACGCCAAGTGATGAAGCAAATCTGAATTTGAAATTGTTTGTGACCTTTCATGCACTTATTGTAAGCTTGCAACGAATTCCATTACCAAGTGCATGTAATCAGGTGCATTGCTTTCTGAGGGACGCCAGGGAGGTGTCTAAGGCCCGCAACTTTTGGGGTACGCAGGGTACTTTATTGTGCGAAATGAATACTTTCAGTCATTTTTCCCCCTGAAGTTTTGCACACGTAATGAAAATAACACCATTTCTTCATGCTATGAGAATGTCTGGTATGCAAGAATAATAAGTAAGAAAAATTCTGTATTTTCACAAAATGCACGAGTGTCCACACATTCTGGATGTTATCAGATATTGTTCTCTCCCAAGTATGATGATGAAAACAACTATGATTTTTTTGCCGAAAAAATATATTCAAGCTGATATTCCATTGTTCGACCCCATGCTGTAATTAGGTTAATTTATCATCTAAATAATTAGTAGAGTGATTCAAAGATATAACGCCGGATGTGTAATGGATCGAAAAAAGTTAATACAACAGCATAAATCTCGTAGCACTTCTGAAACGAAAGTAATGAGGGGCCAGGCTCCTATATAAATTTAACATAGCTGGAAATAGTCCCAAAGTTTCACCATTTTACTCAGTCATGTATATTCTTTCAAAAGGGTACTTTATTTCAGCATGGTAAAGGGTTCCGGGTTCCTTTAACAGTGGCGGACCCAGAGGTTTTTTTGGGCTTCAGGCTTCATTTTAGGCTTCAGTTTAGTTTTTAGAAGATTTTAATATGTTATGGTGGATTGATATGGGGCAAAAGTTAGGGGATGTTCCCACCCCACTTCACCAGTTTGACTTGTAAACTTCTGGTTGTCAAAAACAGACTAGTGTAGCGCTCTTATTTGCAATTAAACCCGCCAAAAAATGTCATTTAAACCTTTGTCAGGTATCTAGACAGTTGCCATTAGTCTTTGACTTCAAATATAAATGTAATCTGTATTGAATATTCTTCATGCTAAATGCGCAGTGATTTCGGAACATCTTACGACGATTCACCTAAATCAAGTCGCCTCGAAAGTAAACATCCGCGTAAACAAATAGATGCACCGGTGATGACTGCTCCTCGACGGGAAGCATAAAAGTTATGCCGAACAAATAACGGTACATTTTCTTTGTTTTGAGATAGTTTTGTTAAAGAAAAACACAGGGAAAATATTTAAGTTTAACAGTTCATCACTATCCACAATGTAATATTGATGAACAATATCGAGCGATACAGTGCAAATGAAGCTTGACCACATTTATACGCACGGTGTGCGCTGGCAGTTGTGGTTGATATAAATAACAGAATGGATTCAGTAATAAAACAATTTTGTTTCGAAACCACATAATCTTGATTTTAAGTTACATTTGTATGTCACCATAGTTAGCTGGATATGTAGGTGTATCTATAAATATGGAATACATTCATACATACATAGGCACGGTCCCATAAAACACACAGGTAAATGTAGTCGCCTTGTTTCTCGTCACCCGGTGCACTTACGTAACTTTTCGAGGTGTAAATATGCCGCATGACAGTTATAGATATTATTAATAAATACTAATAATAATGTGTTTTATTCAAGTGTCATATATTGATTTAGATATTAAAACAAGTAAAATGCACATTAAAACTAGATCAATATCCAGCCAAAAGTTAATTGACTTATGAGACACTTAAAGGGAATTGGTATATATAAAAAATGGTCACAAAATTCAAACAGACCGATATTTGTCACCTTATGAAAGCTTATCATAAGTATCTCAAAACATCAATTAAAGTCTTTACAGATACCTGTATCACCAATTTCAGCGAGAAAGACCGCTATAGTACTTTATCAAATGAAATATGTATAGTGGTAAAATGCCACATATGTCTATAACTTAGCATATTGCATGTTTAGTTTTCTGCGCTTAAGCTTAAATGCATTCAAAATAAATTGACCTATACATAGCTGGAGTTAACCGTTTCCCATTGTATTAAATAACTGTGTGTCACTGTCCTGCATTATGGTCCCATCTGTAACCTCACAGCCTTGGTTAAGGAAAGTATATCCTAAATCATCGTAAAGTGTGCACTCAATTAAAAAGTTATTTTCGTCTTCAACTTTCCTCATGTCACAATCGGTACACAGTCTATCATGAAGTTAAATGAGCGGTCTGGCGTATCTTCCAGACTCCACAGCTAGCGGAAGACATCCGGCTCGAAACTGAGGCAGGTATCGCCGATTGGTTCGTGGAATGTCCGATTTCACATAGTTCTCCGTGCGGATTTCGTTTTTGTATTGCCTATATTTTCAGACTTTATTTCCGTTCGCCTTTTTATCGTAGTTCCACAGGTTTCTTTGCCACTCTGCGCGCGTAGTTTAACCTTAAGACTTTTTACGACGTATCGTGTAGAAAAATTCACATTATTCACTAGACTAGACTTAAGCATGTAATTTTTTGTTTTGTATAGCATGATAACCATCCCATGTCGCCGCGGGTAGCTATGTTGGAAGCGTATTTTCCATTAGCTAAAACTATCTGCAAGCTTTGTTTTGTACGGTATTTATTTCTGCGGGTTCTGTGGTACCCCAAATGGCACTTTCATACATAAGAACCGGTTGCACTACCTTGTTATATAATTTGGTGAATACATGAAATGACTTTTCTCCCAGAAATATATGTTTTCTAATAAGTGCACCTAGTGCTCTACTCACCGATTTTGACACACGTGCTCATTCATCCATATCCTAAAGTCCTATTAGGAGTCTTCTTTTTCCATATTATGTGCACCATAGTGAAACACAGTGTTTGTTCGTGGTATTGGTGGATTTCGGAAATGTACTATCTTGGTTTTGTCTGGTTTACGTAAAGTTTTTATTCGTTGCACCGCCGAGAAACAATGTCGAGGAAACGTTTAAGTTTAGCTTCGTCCGGCGCGCTATCACATATATCGTCTGCATAGAGAAGTATACTAAGCATGACGTCATCTAATGGGATTCAACATCCTGCAACGTTGATTTTTTCAGCTAGATCATTGATATGAATAAAGAATAAACTGTGCGATATACTGCAGCCCTGTTTTACGCCCGACACCACATCCAATTATGGTGTATGGTCGTTATTAACTCTAACTGTACTTTTAAAGTTAGTATATAATGACTGAATCGCCGATAGAAACTTTCCATGAATTCCGGCACGACTTAACTTATACCGTAGAAGGTTACGTTCCAATGAAGCAAACGCTTTGCGCATTTCGATAAAGCATATATATGTGGATTGTTAGATAGTTCCTTGTGTTGATTACGGAATAACACAACTTCTCACCTTCCTGAATCCGTTTGGTTCGTCCATACAGGTGTTCAATCTGGCGT